GTACGCTTACATAATGTGCACTCATACCAAGGTTTCGCCTGTGACCATAGAATATTTAATCGCTGTGAATATTTCAGAACGATTGGTATTCAAAAACAAATATATGTATTCTGTCTAGAGAATGCCGTGCGCTTCTACAGCACTGGACTATTCTACATAGCGCAGGGCTATCAGGAAGGAAGACGCTATGTGTTGCGAGCACAGTCTGCGGTTGGTTCACAGTAGGGGAGATAGAGGAGAGGTGTGGGGAGGGGGGAGCGATTGCTGCTGTTGCGTAATTTCAAATTGAGTGATTCATTTGCGGCAAGTCTTTTTATTGTAATTTTGTTGTTGTCAAAATTGGGTCAATTTTGACAGTGATGCCGCCACCTGATGGACTCCTCGCTTCGAATGACGTCAGCTGGGGGGGGGGGGCTCTAACCGGCCACTCGTGCCGAGGAGACGGCGCGAAATTCGTTTGTGCGGTTCCGCAGAAATTTACCGGGGCGGTCTTCTTGATTCAAAGCTGTGCGACACGCGGCGAGGACGCGCTACTGCTGCAGTGGCATCCTGCACAGCAGTCTTCGACAGTAGGAGTCTTTATTCCTTCCAGCACGAGACACGGTCTTCAAAGATTCCCTTTACTTCATGCGTTACGAGCTTTCTTGCGTCCCCCCCCCCCCCCACTTGGATATCCCTCAAACGCCCTTTCTCGAAGATTCCTTGGCCCACTTTACCCCCAGCCAATCACCTTGGCCCAATTTCCCCCAAGCCAATCACCTTGGCCCACTTTCCTTCCAGCCAAAATACCTTCCCACTTTCCCGAACCGATCCCAACCCACGCTCTCTGTCAATCATCCTCCGTTTCCCCACTCTTTCCCTTTGTATTTCCACCCTTCACAACCGTGCTTCAATGCCCCTGCCTCTAACTAAATCCCCTTTCAGGCCTGTTAAGTTGCCAATCAGAGGGGCTTGTTTTTGCTTCCTGATTAGATACCTGTAAACCCATATGGTTTACCCCGTATTCTTGTACAGGGAAATTCAGTTTTCAGGGTTGCGTAAAACAAACCAAAAGTGCTTGCATTCTTTGGGTCTTTCGGTAAAGTCACATAGATAGGTTAAAAGAAAATAACAAAAAAAATCTACGACGTTTCGATCGCAACACAAGCGGTCGTCATCAGGAAAAGCGGGGTTAGCCTCTAAAGGCAAACTGTTAAAATTTTGATTTAAAGCTTTCGTGACTGCAGGGATTCATATTCTTGGTTCTTTCGGTAAAGTCACGTAGAAGGGAAATAATAAAATAATATTTATATAAAACAATAAAAAATTCTCACGACGTTTCGACTGCAACACAAGCAATCATCATCAGGTGTGATATCCACAGCCTTGTTGCAGTCGAAACGTCGTGAGAATGTTTATTGTTTTATATTTATATTATTGTATTATTTCCCTTCTACGTGACTTTACCGAAAGAACCAAGAATATGGCAAACTGTTTATGAAGGTTTAAAATGGGCGTAGCCCAAGTGTAATGTAAGTGGTGGTGTATTTGTTGTGTGGGTGCGGGGACTGATATGGGATGGAGGGGTCACGCTTGTTTAGGATCACACAGCCGTTTCGCCGTACTGTGTTCTCGTGATTACTGCAGCGGTGTTCTGTTCATAGGATGACAGGAATATAACGTCCAGCAACACAGCATTAGCATGGATAGGGCTAGGTTGTGGGTATTCTAGTGGTAGTGTCTTGCGCAGATAATATAATGCCCCTCCGCGCCCCCGCCCAAGCCAGCCTTAGCAGCAGCGTTCCGGAAAACATGAGGTGCGAAATGAATCCCCGGCAGGCTTTGGGCAGCATGATGGAGCGGACGATGGTGTCCTGGCGGTAGAGACGGAACGACGGACGGGTGGCAGGCCAAGGGAGTAAACGAGCCCTAGAGGACTAAACTTTCTCTCTCTCTAAACTAGTTTTTATTTTATTTTACTGCAGGCGTAAGGCCACCTAGGCGATATCGTTATGTATCAGAAGCGACCTGGCGATCACAAATGATAGCTCTACGAAATTGCGTGATCGCCACGTGAACATTTATAGCAGCCGAACTCCTCTAAAAGCGCGATGTTGATTCTAAATGTGGAGGGGAAACCCGGAGGACCCGGAGACAAAAACTCCACGCGACCGCCACCGAGAGAGAGAGACACTCAAACTCCAAATATACAGCAGGCGTCAGGGTCGGGATTTGAACCCACGACCTCCAAGCGAGGTAGTGGGTGCGTCCACACCGTGGAGATGGAGCGACGAGATGAGTGCTCGCGTGCACGTGGCGCACCGTGTGGATGGCATCGCCACATCGTAGGACTGCGGCGGCTTGGGGAGGGAGGCTCTCATCTAGCAGTGGATTGAACATTGCCGGCCACCTCCACGCGCCGACCCATCCTACTGCTTACTCATTGTCGATCCCAACATTGCGTCAGGGATAACAAGAGACAAAAAAAACCCTGGTACTGGCAAAGGAGGTCCCATGATGTAGCTGCTCACCCCGAGCTCTCATTACTCTGATAATGCGTTGTCTTTGAACTGTGCGCCTTTTGGCGTCATCTGGTCGAACACCATATGAGACTAGGCTCTAAAGAAAGCTGTCTCTGGTGTGGACCAATCAGTTTCAAGGACAATGCATAAATTATCAGTGTATTGTTTTTTGTTTGCATTTGACTGCAAGTATTGTGGTTAACGTAAACATGATTCCTTGTAAAAGGTGTCAGTTTTGTTGCCAGAAAAAAGAGGGGAAACCCCCTATTTAAAAAAACCCTGTTAGGAAATAAATAAACGCACACTCAGCGGGTCTCTCAGGGCTCGTGAGTTGGAATTGCGCCCCCGACTCGCATTGGCGAGGAGCTATTTGGAGGGCCGCGATGGGTATAGGAGATGTTGACTACCTCGCCGGGTATACAGGAGGTCGTGGGTTCGATCCCGACCCTGCCGCCTACGTGTTAAACTGTGTATTTGGAGTTTGCAGTGTCTCTCTCTTTCTCCCCGTGGTCGCGTGGATTTTTCTCCGGATTTTCCCTCCACATTTATAAACACGCGTTTAGGAGCCGTCCATAAATGACGTCACACACCTGGGAGGGGGGAGGGTCAAAAATCGTCCAAAATCGCGTGACGTCATTTATGGACGGCCCCTTAGAGTATTTGGCTGCTGCTTTCAATTTCCACACGATAAGCCAGCTTCGTTGAGATATCATTTGTGGCCAGCTCACTGCTGAAAGAGACCGGTATGGAATGCCCTTCCGCAAGATATCAGGGATCTCTGAGTCCGTGAAGATTTTTAAAACGCGCCTTAAAACCTATTTATACATTTCCGCTTAATAAACGTTTAGTTCACTTAGTAAATTATTATTCAAATGTATTTATTATATTATTTATCATGCTGAGTGTATGCTGCTGTTGCTGTGTCCTGTACAGCGCTTTGAGTGAGATCCTTGATGAAATCCGCTACATAAATGTTATTATTATATAGCTCCTGGTAAAATAAAATAGTTTAGTTCGAACAAAACATAGATACGTTAATATTCTATTGCAGTGCGACGCTCATTTCGTTGAGCTCCCAACACACACGGTGTACCCCAAGTGTGGATACACCGTGTTGATAATGAACTATCTACTGAGACAGGGTGATGCACTGCTTACTGGGAACAAGCTGATCCTGGGTGTGGGCGCTGAAAACATTCGTCGGCAAGTGCCATTGGCCGGTTGAGATGCTTGCTGCTGCTGCTGCTGTTGTTGTTGTCTCTCAATTAAAACAAACACGTGTCGCATGAATGATTGATTATGTAACACCGACGCACATCGTTGTATCTGATATCAGTGGCCTTGGACCGCTGCTCTGGGAAGAGTTCTCAATGGGGGGCGGAGTCGAGCGTCGCTCACGCAGAGGCAATTCCGCTGACGTCACAAAAACAGACGCCGCGGGGCTGCGGTTTCCATGTCTCTCGGAGGACGCGGTGCCGTCACCATGGCTACGCGGTGCCGTCACCGTGGCGACGCGGTGCCGTCACCATGGCGACGCGGTCAACAACACCCACGTGGGAGACGGAGGGAGACCACGGGGAGACAGAGGGAGACACGGGGGAGACAGAGGAGAGGGAGCCAAGGGGGGAGACCGAGGGAGACAAGAGGGAGACAGCGGGAGACACGGGGAGACACGGGTTAGACAGGGGTGAGACAGAGTGAGATAGAGGTAGACAAGGGGGAAACAGAGGGAGACAGAGGGAGACAGAGGAGAGGGAGACACGGGGGCAGACCGAGGGAGACAGCGAGGGACAGAGGAAGACACAAGGGGGAGACACGGAGGGGGGGGGACAAGGGGGAGACACGGGAGAGACAGAATCCGATGAGCTGTGAAGCTCTTTTGTTTACACACATGTCCAGCAGGGACGGGTCAGGCAGTTACAACGAAGACGGCGTCATTGGATGACACGGGGAGAGAGAGACAGAAATGAAACACGGTGAGACAGAGATACGGTGAGACACAGAGGCAGTGAGACACAGACACAGAGACACAGACACAGAGACACAGAGTGAGACACAGAGACACAGACACATAGTTAGACACAGAGGCAGTGAGACACAGAGACAGTGAGACACAGAGATACGGTGAGACAGACACAGACACAGAGACACTGTGAGACAGACACAGAGACACAGACACAGAGACACGGTGTGACACAGAGTCACGGTGAGACACAGAGACACAGAGTGAGACACAGAGACAGTGAGACAGAGACACAGAGTGAGACACAGAGACAGTGAGACACAGAGACACAGTGAGACAGAGACACGGTAAGACAGACACAGAGACACAGACACAGAGACACGGTGAGACACAGAGTCACGGTGAGACACAGAGACAGTGAGACACAGAGGCAGGGATATACAGTCTAGAGAGAGGGGAATCCGGGGAGGTACTGCTTAGTGAGACGTTGAGCCATCGGGCTACCGATAGAGACGCAGACAGTCATATACTGTAGGAGGTGGAGGAGGAGGATGGAGGAAGGGAGCGACACCCCCCATGTGGTGCTGCTCTATGGCCCCTACGAGGCCTGCGGACTCGTTCGTCACCGGCCCTGGAGGCTCCTGGGACTGCTGTGTGAGTCAGTGGGTGGGCGAGTTGATGAGTGGGTGGGTTGTTGTATGAGTGAGTTGGTAGGTGAGTGGGTAGGTGAGTGGGTAGGTGAGTGAATGTGTGAGTGGGCGAGTTGATAGGTGAGTGAGTGGATGTGTGAGTCAGTGGGTGGGCGAGTTGGTGGGTGGGTGGATCAGTGGATGTGTGAGTGAGCGAATTGGTGGGTGGGTAAGTGGGCGAGTGAGCGAGTTGATAGGTTAGTGAGTGGATGTGTGAGTGAGTTGGTAGGTGAGTGGGCGAGTGAGCGAGTTGGTGGGTGAGTGGATGTGTCAGTGAGCGAGTTGATAGGTGAGTGAGTGGTTGTGTGAGTCAGTGAGTGGGCGAGTTGGTGGGTGGGTGGGTAGGTGAGTGGACGTGTGAGTGAGCGAGTTGGGAGGTGAGTGAGTGGATGTGTGAGTGAGTTGGTAGGTGAGTGGGTGGATCAGTGGATGTGTGAGTGAGCGAGTTGATAGGTGAGTGGGTGGGTGAGTGAGTTGGTGGGTGAGTGAGTGGGCGAGTGGGTGAGTTGGTAGGTGAGTGGGCGAGTAAGCGAGTTGGTGGGTGAGTGAGTGGATGTGTGAGTGAGCGAGTTGGTAGGTGAGTGCGTGAGTGAGCTAATTGAGAGGTGAGTGGGTGGGTGGGTGAGTGGATGTGTGAGTGAGTGAGTGAGTTGGTGGGTGAGTGGGCGAGTTAGCTAGTTGATAGGTGAGTGAGTGAGCGAGTGCGGGGCTGGTGGATGAATAAGTTGGATGAGGGATTGGGTGGGTGGGTACGTTAGTGTGCTAGTGTAGTAGCTACGCATGCCCGAGCAGCTTCTGTTTGGCCAGATCCGTTCCCAATCACAAACGGGGTGAAGCAAGGCTGCGTTTTAGCGCCAACGCTCTTCAGCATGGTGTTTTCTGCCATGCTGCAAGACTCATTCCAGAACCACAACACTGGGATTAACTTCATCTACCGTTTTGACGGTGGGCTATTCAATCTGCGGAGGATGCAAGCCAAAACTCGAGTGGAGGAAATCACTGCTCGAGAACTTTTGTTTGCTGATGACTGTGCTCTGGCTGCTGACTCAAATCAAGATCTACAGGACAGTATGGAGCACCTCTCCGCAGCCTGAAACAACTTGGGCCTAACAATCAGCACAACGAAGACTGAAGTCCTGTACCAACCTGCTCCTGGGAAACCCTACACTGAGCCAACCATCTTTGCGAATGGGCAAAAGCTTTCAGCCGTTGACAAGTTTACTTACCTTGGTAGTACACTGTCTCGCGCTGTGCACATAGATGATGAAGTTAACATCAGGATTGTCAAGGCCAGTGCAGCCTTTGGACGTCTACGTGACTCGGTATGGGAAAGGACTGGCATCAAGCAGGAGACAAAACTGAAGGTCTACCGGGCTGTTGTCTTACCAACTCTTCTGTATGGGTGCGAAGCCTGGACAGTTAACCAGCGCCATGCCAAGAAATTGAATCATTTCCACTTGAGCTGTCTGAGGAAACTGCTGAGGATCAAGTGGCAAGACAGAATCCCTGACACGGAAGTCCTCAGCAAGGCAAATATCCCCAGCATCTACACCTTGCTTGCGAAGGAACAGCTTAGATGGACTGGCCACGTGACCAGAATGCCCTACGCGAGACTTTCAAAACAAGTCTTCTTTGGCGAGCTGAGGAATGGCAAGCGAGCACAAGGTGGCCCCAAAAAGCGCTACAAGGACAACTTTAAAGCTTCCTTGAAGAGCTTTGGATTCGACCTGAAAAGCTGGGAACCCCTAGCACAGGACCGACCTGCCTGGAGAAGAACAGTACAGGACGGTGCAGTCCTATGTGAGAGTAGGAGACGCTCTTGTGCTATCTTGAAGAGGCAGCAGCGCAAATCTACCAAGGAAGGACGTGTGGCTGCACCTCAGAGCTCTACATCCTCCCTGACCTGTCCAGTGTGCCACAGGGAATTCCGGGCTCGGATTGGCCTCTTCAGCCATCTGCGCACTCATCAAAACCCAACAAAATGACAAACGTGCCATGGTCATCATCAACTTTGATGGACGAACAAGAAGAAGTAGTAGCTACGCATGCCCGAGCAGCTTCTGTTTGGCCAGATAGAGGGGGGCTATACGGGCGCGACACGGGCTAGAGAAGAGATGGAGTGATGCGGACGTGGTGCCGAGTGGACTTGTCGATACACTGGTAACCAACGCTGTCAAGTTCGGCTTCTGTGGAGGAGGCTCGTGAAGGACGCTACTGGGCAGTTGGAGGCAGTCGCCCTCCAGCAACAACGGAGGGCAGAGGAGCGACGCTCACAGCAACGAGTGGAGCGCCGGGTGGCTAAAACACAGCAAAGTGGCACAGTCTTAGGCAACTGATGGCACCTAGGTCTGTCCCGTGACTTCCTGCACCTAGCCTGGCACAACAGTCAACCCATGGCACATGGGTCTGTCCCGTGACCTCCTCCCAACAGCAAGAGACGTTTACCGTTCACGTGGCCCTAAGGTGCACCTGGCCTGGCACAAGCGCTGTGTGGTGACGTCACCGCCACAGTGGCCAATGGTGGCTCATGTTGCTCGTGAGTGGGTGGGGGGTGGGTAATAGGACTGAACGGTTTGGGGAAAATATCTAATTGCGATTTTTCTGACAGATATTGCGATTAAATGTTTTTAAGTCAAGCTTCAGTTCAATATTCACTGTGTAATAGATTTAAAACATGTGATGGAGCATTACCGCATGATACCATCAAAATTGAAACTGCTCTTTCTATTCTAATGCAAGGATGAGAACTTAAAATATATTAATTGCTTCCAACATGTATTTATGAAAAATTTTTATTGAAATTGAACAATCAAACATAGAACAATTGTTAAGTTAAATAGATAAAGTTATAATAATACAAAATAGAGCAATTCCAATATAAAGGTAATAGGACTTTTCAAATCGCAATAGAACGCAGCCTTTGCGATTTGCTACTCGCATTGTTTCAATTTGCGATTTCGATTTGAAATCGATTAATCGTTCAGCCCGAGTGGGTAAGTCAGTGGATGCGTGAGCGGGTGAGTGGGTGAGTGGGTGGGTGTCTGTGGGAGTGGGTGGGTGGGTGGGTGTGTGAGTAGGTGGGTGTCTATGTGAGTGAGTGGGTAGGTGTGTGAGTGGGTGGGTGTGTGAGTGGGTGGGTGTCTATGTGAGTGGGTGGATGTTTGTGTGAGTGGGTGGGTGGGTGTGTGAGTGGGTGGGTGGGTGGGTGTGTGAGTGGGTGGGTGGGTGTGTGAGTGGGTGGGTGTGTGAGTGGGTGGGTGTCTATGTGAGTGGGTGGATGTCTGTGTGAGTGGGTGAGTGGGTGTGTGAGTGGGTGGGTGGGTGTGTGAGTGGGTGGGTGGGTGTGTTAGTGGGTGGGTGTGTGAGTGAATGGGTGTCTATGTGAGTGAGTGAGTGGGTGTGTGAGTGAGTGAGTGTGTGAGTGGGTGGGTGGGTGTGTTAGTGGATGGGTGGGTGTGTTAGTGGGTGGGTGTGTGAGTGAATGGGTGTTTATGTGAGTGAGTGAGTGGGTGTGTGAGTGGGTGGGTGGGTGGGTGTGTTAGTGGGTGGGTGTGTGAGTGGATGGGTGTCTATGTGAGTGAGTGAGTGGGTGTGTGAGTGAGTGGGTGTGTGAGTGGGTGGGTGTGTTAGTGGATGGGTGGGTGTGTTAGTGGTTGGGTGGGTGTGTTAGTGGTTGGGTGTGTTAGTGGGTGGGTGTCTATGTGAGTGGGTGGGTGGGTGTGTTAGTGGGTGGGTGTCTATGTGAGTGGGTGGGTGTGAGTGGGTGGCTGGGTGTGTGAGTGGGTGGGTGGGTGGGTGTGTTAGTGGATGGGTGGGTGTGTTAGTGGGTAGGTGTCTATGTGAGTGGGTGGGTGTGTGAGTGGGTGGCTGGGTGTGTGAGTGGGTGGGTGTGTGAGTGGGTGGGTCTCTGTGTGAGTGGGTGGGTGGGTGTGTGAGTGGGAGGGTGGATGGGTGTGTGATTGTGTCAGTGGGTGGGAGTGTGACTGTCTGGGTGTGTGACTGTATGAGAGGGTGGATGTGTGACTTTGTGGGTGTGTGGCTGTGTGGGAGGGTGTATGTGTGACTGTCTGGGTGTGTGACTGTGTGGGTGTGTGACTGTCTGGGTGTGTGACTGAGCATTCGCTCCAACACGATCTTTATCGCCGTTAAATGCTGCCCTCGATCTCTGCCGTTCTAAACGTGGCCCCGATTCTAAATTATTCACGTAAATCGCTCGTAACCGATGACATGGCATGGATATACACAGGACTGTACATTTACTGCATAGAGCTCACCGCTCTATAATCCCCACCCCTCCAAGCCCATTACGAACTCACCCCCCATGATCTCTGCACCCATGACCCCCCCCTCGTCCTCCCTGCCCTCCATTCCCCCCTACCCCCACTCCCTCGCCCCCCTACCCCCACTTCCTCGCCCCCCCCACTCCCTCGCCCCCCCCTACCCCCCACTTCCTCGCCCCCCCTACCCCCCACTTCCTCGCCCCCCCTACCCCCACTCCCTCGCCTCCGCTACCCCCCACTCCCTCGCCCCCCCCCTACCCCCCACTTCCTCGCCCCCCCTACCTCCCACTCCCTCGCCCCCCTACCCCCCACTCCCTCGCCCCCCCTACCCCCCACTCCCTAGCCCCCCCCCCTACCCCCCACTTTCTCGCATCCGCTATCCACCCCCACTCCCACGACACCCCGCTCCCCTCCCCCCCAACTCTCTGCCCCCCTCCCCTCCAACTCTAGCCCTGCTCCGCCGACACGGGTTCACGTGCGCGCCGGAGCGCGTGCACGCGCGCGAACACGTGGAGCTGCGCGTGCGCGGCGAGGTGGTGTTCACGTGCCGCGTCACGGGCCTCGAGTTCGGTGTGTGGCGCACACATGTGCAGTGCACATTCTCGACGCGTGCGTCTGTATATCAAACACTCGCTTGTCACTTTATCATGGTAATCTTGTTTCTGAGCCTCTCAATTCCACCCCCCACTCCCCTCTGCCCTCCTCCCTTTCCCAGCGGGAGGGTAGATATACAAGGTGCTTAAAAAAATGTGAACACTCCCGAGAATTTGCAACGATGCCACAAGAAGTGTGCCTCCGGGCTCTGGAGACCACCTGGAGAAGATTCCAGGCACGCGTTGATAGTGATGGCGAGCAAGTGGGAGATACTCTTTGGTTTTTAAAGCTATTAACATACATTTGTTATCATGTTACAGTGTAGTATTATCTGATTCTTTCCCCATTAAAAACGAAGCCCCGAGTGTAAACGCTTTTGGGACGCCGCCGTTGCGAAATATTAACTCCCTCGCCTGCTACGCAGGAGATCGTGAGTTCGATCCCGATCCTGACGCCTGCTGCATATTTGGAGTTCGCGTGTCTCCTCTCTCCCCGTGGTCGCGTGGATTTTTCTCCGGGTCCTCCGGTTTTTCCCCTCCACGCTGAGAACCACGCCTTGAGAATATGTGGCCGCTATACATTCCCACGTGATGATGATGATGATGCTAAGCCACTTTCTTGAGCTATCACTTGTGATACCCAGGTCGCTTCTGCAAAAGAGCTACTACGTAGCTCAGTGGGCCTTACGTTGCCAAATATATTTCAAAATGTTTGCGGTGTCTCTCTCCCCGTGGATTTTTTTGATATCCACGAACCCTCACTGCTCCCACCACCGTGCTGGATTGCAGGCAGCTCACCACCGCCCGGCTATTGATCGCAATGAGGGTGGCGCCGTCTCCTGGACTCTGCTCGAAATTGCCCCGTGCCCTGGCCGTCCTACACAGGGCACAAGGCCGAGTGTGTGGGCAATACCCCCCCCCCCCCGCACGAGATGTGATGATCCGTGTCGCTTCATTTCAGTTTCATGTATTAGGTATAACCCTGTGAGCCATGCGGCTCTTGACTCGGGTGCAACCGCAACAAAACAAAAACATGAACAAGTGACTACACGCAACAGAAAAATCGAGGAAAAAACAGCAAAGTCTTTCAGAAAAAACACCGCATTTCAACGCTGTGTGCAAAATCTTGGATCTCACCACCGGGTTTCGCGATCCACAGGGAAACCGCGACCAAGATGTGACCCAGTAATATGCCATGGACACGTTACGGGCAGTACCAAGTACTAGCGCTATGTATGGGTATAACTTATTGTGTTCTTTTTACAATGTGTGAATTATTAAGTATAGGATTTTTCACATAAAATTGGGGGGGGGGTTAGATCGCGTAAATATAAATGCGTCGTTAAACCCGCCACCATCCGACACAGCCAATCTTTAAGGTTTGTCATGTAAACAGAACGTGCCAATTAGCCAATCAGCATTTACAATGCGGTGACTTTCTGCTGAGTGATTACAACAAACAGCTTCGTCGGGCGGTTGCCAGAACTGTGAAGAAGAAGAAGTCCTCTTTTTGATCTGAGGAGTTGAGGTGATCTCATCACCGTGCGAACACCCAGAGGGGAGGGGGGGGTTAATGTGGTCATATAAGTCAGAGATTTTTTTTAAATTTGCCATCAGCCATAACGATAATTGTTTGTTCTGAGTTGTCCTTGAGATCCACGCCAAAATGTTTTGCGATCCACCCCTGGATTGCCACCCACGTATTGGCCATCCACCGTGGGCCTTGTGTGCCCCTGCGTGTCTATCTTTGTGTCTGAATCGGTCCTGGGCCTCTCCTGGTTCGACTCACCTGGTGCGCTGAGTAAAGCATCGCCACTTAGAGAGACAAAGGCGGCCGGGCCTGGTGCTGGCCACCCACACACTCTTCGTGTGCCGTGCCGGCTTTCATAGGTGGGCTACTCGCTGACAGCACTTGCCCCAGGAGCCGGTCAAAGCTATAGTGGGAAACCTTTGTCTTTGCAAGGCCCGCGGGCCACTGGCGGCCCCCGATGGTGGCCTTTAGAGCGGCCCGCGACAATACACAACTGGTGAAAACACCCCCAATGGTTTCAAATGGTGTGGCGGCCCTCACACTGGTGATGTCTTATCGGCAAAAGTGCCCCCCACCAACCCCCTCTGAAAATGAGTGAAGAACACTGATACTTAGAGTGTGTGTGCTGGCCATCCACCACTTCGTGTGCCGTGCCGGCCTTTATAGGTGCTGCTCGCTAACAGCGCTTGCCCCAACAGTCTGTTAAGGCTACACGGGGGGTCGATCTTTGTCTTGTCCCTCAGGAGGAGACGGGGGTATCGACCCCCTGTGCCAGGCGGCACTCCGAGCTGTGCAGAACGCAGTCTGACACGGTTTCCGCGGATCTCCTTGGCGTGAAGAGCAAGCAAGAGTCACCATCGTTCGACACACCACGCGGGCGATACCCTTCTCACCAGACCTCCTCCTCCACCGGCATTCTCCTGAACGGCCCCGCAAGCTGATGGACCGTCACATTGCGCGGTTGGCTACGTACGGTGCGAAAGAAGTTCGACATCTCATACACTCGATGGATATTCGCCAGGGCATAATGGTGCACCACGGTGGCGAGGTGTTAGCTACATCACGTGGTGTGCAGGAGGGCGTGGGTTCGATCCCTACCCTGACGCCGGCTGTATATTTTAGAGTTCGCTTGTTCTCTCTCCCCGTGGTCGCATGGATTTTTCCTCCAGTTTTTCCCTCCACATTTAATTCGCTCCACATTTAATTCGACAATAGAGGATTCGGCTACTGTTGTAAGTGTCCACGTGATAAGCCAACTTCGTTGAAGCTACCAATTGTGATAGCCAGGTCGCTTTTGAAAAAAGCCACATAGTTCAGTGGGCCCTTACCTGGTAAAACAAAAAATATAAATATATAGTTTAGTTTTTAATCATAGACAGCCCCATTGTGGAGCTGCTAAACCAGAGGTTGGACAATTGTTGGTAACGCCCGCGGCTCACCGCGTGGGTGCCGCTGATTCTGCATCGAGGCCCGTCTGTGGTTCCTCTGACGTGAAGTCATTATTATTATAAACCTGAAAGTCCCCATGGCTATTAGGAATGAGGCTTCCAGCCAACTGGTCCCACTGCAATCCTTCACTCAGAGAACACAACGCGACTGAATCTCTGGAATCAGAATTGCCTCGTATTATTATTTTTTGGTCTGCTCAAATTAATGAACTTCATTCGCATTCTAAGAGGGGTTTGGGAAAGAGAATTGTCGCCGATAGAAGAAATAAAACAATATCGGCCAAGGCAAATATTTCTTATACGTTCTGAATATGATTTCTATTGTATGGCTTTTTATCCTTCAAATAAATGCATTTGGGACACGGCAAACGAGAGGTCTATGGAATTGTTTTTTTTCTGTAAAGTGTAGAAATGTGTATTGGCCTCCAAGTGGTGAGTGGCGGTGCAGTGATTAGCGCAGTTCGTGATGAACCCCTGCGAACCTGAGTTCTATTCCCGGCCATGACTCTTTACCAGTGGCGAGTGATATCACGAACCCACCACTGTGCCCAGCGTATTGAAGTCCCGTACTCTATTCTACAAAAACAACCCTCATGGCTCTCGTTAGATTACACTGGTCAACACACTTTTTCTGGCATAAGGTATTCCAACGGGTTTAAGGTAATTTTGGGGTGCTGATTCCAAATCTGGCATCAGTGTTTGTCTATCACATCAGGTTTTTGAGATATCAAATATTGCATTTTCAATAAAAACTGCAGAAGAAACATAGTAAACAGATGTGGATATCTACATAAAATTATATTATAAACTCACTATCCTAAAAATACAGCACCATATTTTAACACTAAAGCAGTCACTGACTCGCAATAACTTGGAATCATAAGTGACAGAGTTAATTTCAGGTAAAATAAATTAAAATGGGGTATGTCGATAGCATAAAAATGATGTGATAGAGCAAATCTGAGATCAGATTTGGAATCAGCACCCTGAAATTAGTCTAAAACAGCTGCAAAAGTCTAGGCCAGAAATTTTTTTCTTGTTGACCAGTGTTATTATTGTAATGTTATTAACTGTACATCCACGGCTACTCGATCTGTAGACGTAACACTTGATGCTGTGCCCGAAGTGATTATCGTTCGAGCCTTCGTGTGTCAATGACACAAAGAGCCTGGAAGTGCAATGAAACATCGAATTTGGATCTTCACGAAATGGTTATCAGCCTCATCAATGATTATATTGAATGGTAGCGGTTGTGAAATTGTTTCAAAACACACCATCGACTTGTCTGGTGCAGTTTGCATAAAACCGGCTGTGTGAGCTCACTGCACCAATAGCTGTGTGAGACTACCCGCTCTTTGACCTCTCTGTCACATATTGTACATTTTAATATGCAGTCGGTTTTCGCGACCAATATCCATAATCGACCGGGATTTTTTTTGGCTTAGAGCGCGTCAATATAAATGTTTCGTTAAACCCTCCACCACCCGACACAGCCAATTGATATCACCAACCCACCGATTTCCCAAACCCCTTTAAGAATGCGAATAAGGTTAAGGTTGTGTTGGGTGGTGGCGGGTTTCACAACACATCTATATTCACTCGATTTAACCCCAAAATAAAACCTCTATTATGGATTACTGTATATTATACACTTTTTTTTATTTTAGGGCCACAGCGCTATTCACCAATGTGTTAAGTTTTTTGTTTGTGTAACCAACAGAGTGTTTAAAGAGTAATACGACACTGCACACGTCTGCAGCGGATGGGATTTTACGTGCATGTGTCAATTACATTTACAAACGTCCGAGATCACATTGAGTCTCTCTGGCAAGAGAGAGGCGCCGCGTGAAAGCAAAATGCGTGGTACAAAACAACGATCTGGCGCAGGTGGCATCGGCAGGGGTGGACAAACGACTCGTCGCGACAAGCCGGGGCCATGCCAAACATTTTACTCGACGAGCGAAACGTTCCGGCTCCGGAGAAAAGCCTCACGGTCATCGTCGGTCCGAAATGATCCCCATTGGTCACAACACGCTTCAGTCAGCGCAGAACGACATCATGGGGAATTTAGAGGAACTGGGTGGACAGTTATGTTACGGTGTATCTCTATACAGTATCTGAATATATACTTAAACTAAACTATAAAACTGTTTTTTTATTTAACCAGGTAATGCCCACTGAGCTACGTAGCTCTATTTTGCAGAAGCGGCCTGGCTATCACAAGTGATAGCTCAATAAAGTGGCTTAGCAGCATCATCATCATCACGTGGAAATGTATAGCGGCCAAATGCTCTCAACGCGTGGTTCTAAGTGTGGAGGGGAAAAACCGGAGGACCCGGAGAAAAATCCACGCGACGACGGGGAGCGAGGAGACACACAAACTCAAAATGTACAGCAGACGCCGACCTCCCGCAGACCAGGCGAGGCCGTTGACGTCTCACCACCGTGGCGCCCTGACCCCTCCCCAAATCACGTGGCTTCTGCGTGACCCCGCCCCCTCGCTCTCCCCACCGCCCCCTATGAAAACAGACGCTGCTCCAACCTTCTCTCTCCAACTCTTACCTCCCCTCGCATCACCCTTTCATCCGTTGCCTCTTCGTGTGCTTTGGGAAATTAGTATGAGAAAGCAACATATACCACTTTGCCTGACGAAGAAAGCTCTAAATCGGTAAATAATTTTACCTCGTAATAATTGTTGATTATGTTTTGTTGGGTTAAACGATCACGTTAATGTAGTTGTGTCGTAAAGCCATCCTCCACCCGACGCAGCCAGTGAGGTTTGTCACGTGAACAGAACGTGACATTTAGTAACGAGTTCAGCACACCGGTCTGTTGGAGAATAAACCCACAACAGTTTTCAATTTGAGTGTGAAATTTCGCTGGTAATTGCAGCCAGCTTCATCAGGCGATTTCCATAATTGTAAAGATGCCTGCTTATGACATATAGACCAGCATACCGGTCGACCCTGTATCAGTGCCTACCTCATCACAGACAAATCCAGACATTATTGGCCTTATAAATCTCAACGTTCATCCGACAATGTCCCAATCACAAGGGAGAAACACAAACAGACACAAAAAAATAATGTTTTGCCCGTATATCATGAGGCTGTACGCCGTATCGATCTGAAAACTAAATTTTCCTGTACAAGAATACGGGGTAAACCGCATGGGTTGACAGGTATGGACCAGAAACATGGACATTGGCAAGAAAAACATGAATGTATATTAAATGCAAAATTATTTACAATATATTATATGTAAATATATTGCAAATAGCAAATATATAGTTACAATATATTGTTGTTTTATATATTTAATAGTTTTATTTTATTATTTTATTATTTCCCTTCTACGTGACTTTACCGAAAGAACCAAGAATATGAATCCCTGCAGTCACGAAAGCTTTAAATCGAAATTTACAATATATTGTAAATATATTTTCAATATTTGCATATACTTTACATACAAGTAAATCAATTTTGATATACGTACTGTACTATACGTAAAAAACATAATAATTATATATTTTAAAATACATATAACAATAATATCTTATTTCAATAAAACCGTACAGCATTAATTTACAAACAGGCAGTAATTACCCGCCGCCCCGAGCAGGCACTCGCAAGGGGCAGCCGTGGGTCCGGCAGCTCCGCGGGGACCTAAGTCGGGGTCCTCGCTGCTTCACGCCCCTTCTCTCCCCCGGCCGCTCAGCTACCGACGCCATGGTGAGCGAATTTCTCCTCTCGCAATCCGACGCCATCCCACCCCGTCTCGAGCCATCCGCCCTCCGCAGATCGTTCGGCTCGCGCCCCTCGTTCCGCCCGATCGACCGCGCTCGGGCTTTGGGCACCGATTCGCGCACAAATCCGAGATTTTTTAGTTGTTTGAAACTCCCATTGAGTCGCGGCCCCGACCCCCGGGGGCTCGGCCTAACCCGACCCCGCTCTCGCCTAGTTACCGCGGCCGCCCGAGATGCGCGGTCGGGCGGCTGGAGTAGCGAGGCGAGGGTGGCCGGTGCTCGGGGCACCCGCGTAAAAAAACACGGAATATGCCGTTTTTTATATAAATAGATTTATGCCTCGCTTGGAGGTTCTTTAAACGTTACAGATTATTCGCAGTGGAGTTGGTCGATTGTGCAAAGTTAAGCCGCCGCGTTCGATGTCGACCATGCGGCTACAGGCGGCAATAATCGAAACGTGGTTTCTGCTCGAGTAGCTTCGCTTTATCGCCCCTCGGGTCGGGCTGTGTGGCGTGGCCGTTCGTGACAACCCTGGTGGTGGTGGTGGCGGTCGCAAAGTTCGGTGATGACCACGCGGCTTTGTACCAGACACCGGGGAGGAGGCTCGCTCATTGGGAGCCCGTGTGCGTGCTTGTGTCCTGGGCTTCCCCTAGGTCGACTCAGCATCAATGCTATCTGTAAATTGTGCCACTGGGGAGGCAAATGCCTGGCCACCCAACCCCCCTTGTACCGTTCCGGCCTTCATTGGTGCTCGCTAGCAGCACTTGCTTCAAAAGTCTGTTAAGGCAAAGCGGTGGGTGGGTCTTTGTCAGAGTGTGTCTGAAGTGATCCTCCCTGTGTACAGTGCGTTTAACTCTCCGCCTGTTTCCCCGTGCGAGTGTGATTTTAGTTTCCTTCTGTTCCCTTGTGTGGCCCTCTGCTCTGGGGAGCGGTGGCGCAGTGGTTAGCGCGCTGCGCTACGAACCCGGCGACCCCAATTCGATTCCCGCTCACGACCAACACCGGTGACGATTATCTGAACCGGTCTTGGGGCCTCTCCCTAGGTTGACTCGGCCTCAAATGAGTACCTGTTGCGATATTTAAACATCGCCACTCGGGAGACAAAGGCGGCCGGGCGTGGTGCTGGCCACCCACCCCCTCGTGTGCCGGGCTGCCCTTAATCGGCGCTGGCTAACAAGCACTTGGCCCAAAAATCTGTTAAGGCTATACGGGGGATCTTTGTTTTGTTTGTTCCCCTGTAACCGTCGCCTGTGTGCCTTCTTTGCGCCGTCTGTATTATTTTCCTACGGCCCTCTCCACACGGGGGGGGGGGGCCGTGTCTTCCGTCTCCCTTTGCCCCCCCCACCTCCCCAATGTACCTGTGTCGTCTCAATGCACCAGTCTCTTTCTGTTCCCTCTGCCTTGTGGTTGTCCCTCGCTCTGCCTCGAGCCCCCTCCCATGCACACGTGTCCTCTGTAGGTGTTGTCCCCTCCCGTGTAAACTGCACCGTCTCCCTGTGTGTCCGCAGAGTGAAACAGCAGCCGTAACCATCCGCACGCGGAAGTTCATGACGAACCGCCTTCTGCAGCGCAAGCAGATGGTGAGTAGTTGGAGGCGCCGCCGCCGCCGCTCTCCTTGCGGGGACACGGCAGTGCTTGTGGGGCACCTGTTGCGTGGAAACAATTTGGGAGCGGTGGTGGTGCAGCGGTTAGCGCACCGCCGCGATACGAATCCGGCGATCCGGGTTGGATTCCCGCTCACGGCCAACACCGGTGACGATTCTCTAAAACCGGACCTGGGCCTCCCCTTGGTCGACTTTGCTTCAAATGAGTACCTGGTGCGGTGTGTAAACATCGCCACTTTGGAGACAAAGGCGGCCGGGCATGGTGCTGGCCACCCACCCCCTCGTGTGCCGTGGCGACCTACATAGGTGCTCGATAACAGTGCTTACCCCAAAATTCTGTAAAACCTATACGGGAGATCTTTCACTTTGTGGAATTAAAACTTTTTCCCATTGTGCTCTGAGTAGTGGAACTGAAATTGTGAATCGTGGTTCTTGTGATAGTGCGTTGATGGTTGCATGAGTAGTGGTGCTTTGAGTGACGGTGCGGTGAGTGGAATTGATGTGGTGGTCCTAATGAATGAGGTGTATTGGTGGTCCGGATGTCAATGTGGTGAAGTGGCCTTGATGAATGATATGGTTATGGCTTTGGTGAATGAAGTGGTTGTGGCCCTGAGGAATGAAGTAAATGTGGCCCTGGTGAATGAAATGGTTTGCGGGCGTGAATGACGATCCGCGGGCCGTCCCCAGGTGGTTGACGTCCTCCACCCGGGCAAGGCGACGGTGCCCAAGACAGAGGTGCGCGAGAAGCTCGCCAAGCTGTACAAGACCACCATGGACGTGGTCTTCGTCTACGGCTTCCGCACGCAGTTCGGAGGCGGCAAGACCACGGGCTTCGGCATGATCTACGACACTCTGGACTTCGCCAAGAAGAACGAGCCCAAGCACCGTCTCGTCAGGGTGCGACTCCAAAATCCCTCGCCACCGTTTGAGATCTCCTCCGTGTCAAGTCGTTTTTTACAACTTTGCCGGTCAATGTCCAATACCATCCTGCGAGAAGTTCTTGTAGATGTTCAAGCAGCCCTATGGCTCCTGGGGTGTTTAATAAGCGTTTGGAGCTGTGTTAACGAGAACGAACATTACTTTTGTGTCCGTGAAATGCCATGCTATGGTTTTATCGTGGTTTTATTCTAGAAAATGTTTTCTATGAATACCAAATTGAGACCAATTCATGTTTTAAAACGCATTTATGTATACAATGTTAAGCTATGAAAGTATTATTTTCGTGGACGGTAATATGGTCGGGCACTAGATGCCATTAAGGTCTTCTAGCCACCAGGAAGAGGGTTTGGTTTTCAGGAGAGAGTTGGTGTAGTTTTGCTGTTCATTGAAAGAGCGCAGGCTGCAGTGGTTTAGAATACGATGCGTAGTTTGAGTTGCATGACCACAATTGTTCTGTGGCTTGTCTTTAACTTTCCATGCATCAAGAGGATGCACGCATCGGCCTCTTGATATGTGTTGATCTGATAGTGGTGCAGTCGGTGCTGTGACGTATAAAGCCAGCGCTGATTGCCTGGCGCGTGACATTTCTGCACCGCTAACCTCACGCCGGCATTTGCACGTTCAGATTTTGAGCTTCAGAAGAACGTTGTAACATTTTCTTTTTATAATTTTTTTCGCCTAAAATAACACATGCAGGACGTCATATTCAGCCACGTTATTTCGAAGCCAAACTCTTAAATGATTAATGGTCAGATGTGCTCTCGCGATGACCACTGAATTGATGTAAACACGTGTGGAAGCAACGTCACTGTTGATTCACAAAAGTACAATTGACTGTTCCTGAAGTTTTCTCATGACCAAAGCTTCTAAAGTGAGCTTTCAATACGATCACTTTCAAGATTGTTTTCCCCATTACACATTCGTTCCTGTCTTTGGAACGCTTAGAGAAATTCTACGCATGTATCCACGACATTAGGGTTGTTTTTTTTGGGTGCCTTAAAGTGCTAGCCAAGGGGCTGTGAGACCAAAGCACGTCTGCAACTACGAGGTTGACCCAACGTTCTATTTCCCCCCGGGTCTTTTGTGTGCAGCACGGGCTGCTGGAGCGCAAGAAGACTTCCCGCAAGCAGCGCAAGGAACGCAAGAACCGTCAGAAGAAGGTTCGCGGCACGGCCAAGGCTGCTGTCGGCGCCGCTGCCAAGAAGGTGAGACCGGAAGAGGAGACGGGGGAGCGGGGCCTTGCGTGCGAGTTCGTTTTGAGTGCCTGCTGGACGTGCGCGGATGAGAACGTGGCGGTGTATCCGAGTACGTTCTTGGAGATGGCAATGTGTTCAGCTCGTGACGTCGTGGGGTGATGCACAAGTTTGTTTGAGTTGGCGAGTCGGTGGCGTCGTGATCCGCTCACAAGGTGTCGCTCTCCCCTTGCGTCCGGGACTCGCAGAGGCGATGAGAGGTAACCGCTCGCCAGCGACGACACGTGGCTGGCGGTCCGGGGTAGTGAACAGCGATATCCCGGTGGCGATATCGTCTTGTGTATTCGCGACATCTCGGTGTGGCTGCACTTGCACCGCAGATAGCTGGAGTCTAAATAACGATTTGCTGTTTACTCTCCTGCCGGTACAATGTCGTCACATGGCTTCTATTTACAAGCCTTATGGATGTCATTTACCAAAGTAGTGTAGATTTAGCATTTTGCACTTGGTGACTGCCATGCGAGTGCAACACATTGTGATGCAGTAGCATCATATGCACTTGCATCGCAAATGTGTTACTCAACTTTGTTATTCAATACTTTGGAGCAAAGATGCGTCGTTTTTTGTTGATATTAAACACAACCATTTCTCCTCTATGCAAATCACTACTCCATCAACATATATTCAGGATTGTAGCAGAAAAATCCTCAAATCTGTCCCAGCTTTTTCCCCCACAATTCATCTGCCTCCATGTATGGAATATCTCTTCCCTTTCAGCTGGAGGGATCGGTGTAGAGCGGAGTTCAGGCCGCGCAAGCTCTAACCACCGAGTGTCCGTGTATCACAGGTGCTGACGCAAGTTGGCGAATGTGTAGTTCCCATTGTGCACTTGAGAGGCTTTGGTTGGACGCTAGGCATGTAACGATTACAACTGATTCTTATGCTCACAATGAATGCGTTGCACTGTGTGCCCAAGAATCGATAGCTGCAGTTTGTGCGAACTTTCTATATTGTGGCCAAATGAAACAGTGAGAAGCAAGACGGTGCAGACCGTGCACTGTGGAAGAAACGGTACAAAGGAAGTCCGTACAGAGGAGACGGCTATAGACAAGATGGTACAAACGAGATGGGCAGTAGAAACTAACAAAATCGGATTAGTTTCTTGACAACGAATGGCAAGAAGGAGAGTTGTCACATCCCTAGCGTGCCTGGCGCTGATGTTGAGAGCGGCGAGGGCAAGGGAGAGACGGCGCAGGTTTGGTCTGTCTGTGCAGTGTTGACGTATGTCTCCTCCTCCCCTCGCCCCCCTTCCTCCGTGCGTGCCCCCCCCCCCCCACACACGACGACCCACAGAAGTAGCGGCGAGGTGGCTACAGGTAATGGTAATGGCCCGGGCCCCCCCCCCCCCCACTGCTGCTGCTGCTGTGCGATCCACCACAAACTTGCTTTGGCTGCAGCTCGCGGCTGTGCTAACGACGATACTTGTAGCATGCGTGGCGGCGGCGGTGTTGGTGGTGGGGTGCGGTGACCGTGCGCATGTGTGTTGCATGTGTGCATGCTGTCGCGATCATTTTGCTGAAATCAACGTTGGCCATCGGGCGCAAATCTCGCCGCTTTACGACTCGCTTGGGAATTTAGACGCTCGTTTAAATCTACGAATTGACGATCTTCACAACTTAACCCTGCATCAAAGTGATTTCCAGCTTGGCAGATGATGGCCTGGCTTATTTTTTGTAGGTAACGGTTAAATATTACGGCCGATCTCAAAGCTGGCTTGCTTTTTTTGTTAACGAAGATTAAAGTCTATAAGGTCACAATTGCATAGTGTGTAAGCTGAGCGGCGGTGTTTGCAATGTCTTGTTTAATCGCGCTGTGATTATTGTATGGCGATTGATTATGCTTTCACCATTGCATGCTGGCATCGCGTGCGTCTGAGCGCGAGTGATCCTTTGTGTGTGTGTCGACCATCTCTGCATGTACCTCTTGTAGCTCCGCTGGCTTCCAAACAACGCCCCCCCCCCTCTGCCCCCTTTTCTAGTTGCGGATTCGCTTTGGGCTTTGTGGGATTGCATGCATCGGACAGACTCGGTGTGGTGGACTGCGTTTGATCGCGGTTTTCAGTTGCATGTGATCGGTTGCTGTGACCCGCAGGAGTGGAATCGCATGCGCTTGCTTGTACGTAACCGCATGTTTCATGCCGTGTCCTGACATCGTCTCTCTGTCTTTTGCAGAAGGACTAAGCATCCTGGATGTCCGTTTGTCAAGACTTTTGACACGGTTGTACATTGCGAAATAAAACACCCGAAGCTGGACAGTCTGTGCTTGCGCTCTCTCTGTGTTCACGCGGAGCTGTGGTGTTGTATGGGTGGCAACGATAACGCACGTCTCAACGATGTGATATTGTTTCTTGGGCTCGCAATAATATGCCATCCGATTACGTGTGGAAGGACCGGGTGGTTTTCAATTGGTGTACGCACGTGTGTGATAAACTCTTTGTCACCGCTGCGGCACTGATGGTGCTACCGTTCACCACAGTGTGAACCAAACTAAAATCTCATAACTAAATTGGCACAATTTGACTTGCCAGAGTGGAAAGCGAATTGTTGCAGTCCTAGTGTCGAGGTATTTTTATGTTAACACTTTTCTTTTACGGCCAGATCGGGACCTGCATTTAAATCAAGCCAACGGCCAATTCCAGTGAGAGAAACCACATAAAACAGCATCACAGTCAGTGCTCAAGTGAAACTTATTTTCGTATCACTTTCTGTTAGCAAAGGTCCAAAACGCCAAGTAATGGAGAACGAATACGTTCATCTTTCAAGGTTTCACAGCGCCGCTTGGCGCGAGCGAGGAGATGAGAGGGAATCTCACAGTGGAGAGGTGGTGGGTAGCGTGGCGGTTGATCACGGTGTGGGTGTGATGAAACTGGTGAACAAAATGCTACAACTACCTCCTGAGTTAACTTCCACATATCCGTCTACATGTCAAAAACAAACATTGGAGACCGGCATCTGCTCCCCCTCGATCTTCAACGTCTCCAGGAGCCCACGGCCCTGTGATTAATATTCAAGTCGACATAAAAGTGGGCAAGAGGTCATGAGCAATCTTGATTTGAAGCTTTTGTGACTGCTGGAATCTCCATACTCTTGGTTCTTTCGGAACCAAAGAGTAAGTCAAGTAAGTCGAGAGCAATGAATGAACGTAGCTACGGCACCACGGTCGTTACGTGGTCCCAAGGTTGACCCCTGCAGAGGTGACCCCTGCCCACGAGGTACTGGGGGGCCATGCCGGACGAGATGCACATTGCCATCTTGTGTTTATTGCCGCTTGCCACGGTGACGAAATGCTAACAACCTCACCTGGTGCGCAGGAATTTGATCCCGACCTTTGACGCCTGCTGTGTGTTTGGAGTTGGTGGCGTCTCTCACCTGTTGGTCGCGTGGATTTTTCTTAAGGCTCCGGTTTTTCCCTGCACATTTAGAGTTGAAGTCACGCGTTTAGAGGTTTTGGCTGCTCTACGTTTACACTGTGATGGGCCACTTTGTTGAGCCATCTGTGGCCAAATTGCGTCTGAAAAAAGAGCTACATAGCTCGGTGGGCCTTGCCTGGTAAGAATTGTTTTAATTATAGTTTAAGAGTTTTATCTTCAACGGGGAAGAAGTCGTCTGGGATATCTTGCTAATGAGGGGGGGGGGGGGTGCAGCTGCACAAGGGGACAGGATGGAGCCGTCACTGGCGGTGGACGTCGTCGTGGCGACGTCTTGGGTAAGTCGTCACCCCCGCTCTCCCCCCCGTCCAAGTTGAGTTCGCTCGTCACGAGGTGAAGATTTTGCCGTCGAGCATGAAGTGTGCCGATTCAGCGAGGGCAGACTTCGATTAGTGTTTTGGAAGCATTTTCAGATGTGGAAACATCGCAAGCCGTGCAGCAACAGTAACGGCCGTAACATACTCTTAGTTCTTTCGGTAAAGTCACGTAGGTAAAAAAATTAATAAAAATAAAATCACGACGTTTCGGAGGCAACACAAGCTTCTGTCTTCAGGTGAAACTGTCACAGCAAAATATCTGTATCAAGATGTTCACGTAACATGTTCACTGTTTTCTAACGGGACATGCTTCCGCAACCGGTCATCTTCACTGGAGATCAACTTCCTCTGTCCATTAAGCAGTTCCCATCCCTCATATACTTTCCTTCCTCTCACAATGGAATGGTCACGCGATCTAGCGGAGGCTTGTGTGGACTAATGAGTTTACAAACTGTTTATTGCACAAAAGCACCGCTTCGTGTGGAAATAATATTTACATAATAATCTTTACACATCATGGAATTAATACAAATTGAGTGCAAGGCCCATGCTGTATCGGGCAGCTCCACTCCATGACGGTCCAGAGCCGGGGACCTCGCCAAATCCAGCAGTCGGTATCGATACAACACAAAAACACGTGTTTCGGGAATGGCCAATTGCCCCCAGTATTTCCTTTTCGAACTTTGTCAATCCACTGCTGGATGAAGGCCACCCCACGTCACGTGGGCAATAGAGCCTTTCGTATTGCACCTGCTGACACTCCTATCGCCACTTCCTGAGCGATGGTGATGCGGTGTGACTACACGGGTGGCCTTTGCCGAGGTCTGCCCCTTGTGCCGGATGCCTCCCTCATCACGGCTATGCCGAGCTTGCTGCGGGGAGCAGCTTGGGGGCCCTTCCAGGTGCCAAGGGGTCTCTCCATCTCGACGGGGAAGGGAGACACCGGGGCCTCGGTGAGAGCGCATGAGGGACTCTGGTGCCAGTAGCGCGGGGATGGACGATTCGGGGTCCACGAGTGAGTGGATGGAAGACCCCCCCGGGTCTCGGGGAGGAGATCGGCGGGGCCGCCGTCAGGGAAGCGCTTCGTGAGTTCCCGAGTCTGGGTAAGGGGCGTCCATAAATAACGTCATGCATCTGGGGGAGGGGGGGTTGAGAAATGTGACGTCACATCAAAATGCGCAACTTTAAATAATATAGAATTGTTATAACAGCACTAATTGTTATAACAACACTCCTACAACATCAGAGTGCAGCGCCACATTAAATACGCACTACAATGACGATAGTTTAAAGCGACTTGAAGCATGTTTTATTTTTAAAATGGAAATATGGTTTGGGGGAGGGTCAGAGCTTTTTGACATCATATTTGAGGGGAGGTCTGACTTTTTGACGGGGGGAGAGTCAAAAATCGTTCAAAATCGCGTGACGTCATTTATGGACGGCCCCTAAGAACACGGGGGGGGGGGCAGTGAGGGAATTGGCATCAGCGCTGTCCCCAATCCGTCAGTGCCGCTCATCACCGTCATTCATCGTCGACATTCTACCGTCGTTCGGATCAATTGTGACGAGAGAAGGGGGAGCACGTGGACGGGGGGTCACGTGCTTCCCAGAGACCTCGTCATGGCGGTCACATGGCGCGGGTTTTGTAAAGACACGTGTCTACAGGGGCATGGCGTGACAGCTGTGGTGAAATATTAATTCAATTGAGAACGATTCAACTCTCAATCTTAATTCAATCATGGTCGCTATTTAAATCGTTATTTTCAAGTGCCGTTCATCATCATTACCAACCAATGCAAAAAATCATTTGGTGAATACATTCTGTCAATCGGTCAAAAAAACATTGACACTTGTTGTGAATAGTGAATTAATTTAATAACCATAACATCATTTTAAAAATCATAATTGATATGAGATTAGTATTCATTTCGCGTCATCACGATCGCTAAAAGCCGGCGACGTGAGGGCGGTGCCGCTCGACCGCGGGTACCGCTGCCGCCTCCTGCTCGGTGCGGCTCGTGGGAGGGTCGAGGACTTCTCCGAGTTCACGGCCGCTGGGCGCTGCGAGTGTGGATTGCGAGCCTCCGGGTAGAACACGGGGGGTGGTGGATAGTCCCCTGGTCGAACGAGGGGGATTGAGGAGCCCCTGGGTAGAACATGGGGGAGTAAGGAGCCCGCTGGCTGAATGAGGGGGCTTTAACAGCCCCCTGGCTGAACTGGAGTTGAGGAATGATGGTGGTAGTGGTTGCTTATACCCTCACTGAAGATGAACATCGGTGGAGGGATGCAGGCAAGGCCGATGAGTCAGATAGCTTTTATTATCTCTTGTCACGGGTGCGAGCTAAAGTGGCCCCTCGAAATAGTCATCCTGTTGGGTGACTAATGCACGAGTGGGTCAGTGATGTTGGCACCTCGGTGGGAGGGATTGAAAGGCATGGGCCAGATCAATTCAATAACAGTCGGGGGCTGCTAGACTTCCGTGCAGCCCATAGGCTTGTAATGACCAACACGATGTTCCGGCATCGGTGCATTCCGCACATCATGGATGCACGCCGAGTCCAAGCAAGAACATCTGCTGGACTACGTAGTGACGCGGGCCCATATTCCTGACACCAGGACCTACCGTGGAGCTGATCTACCCACTGACCATCCATCGGCTTATTATCTGTAAGATGCGCCTGCCATTCTTCCACTCCGGTGGTGGTTGTCCATCTAGGGCCCCATTTAAACTCACAGTGGCCTGGTCTCAGCTAGCTGATGAAAGCTGCAAGCGAGAATTTCATCATTGCATGCAGCTGGGGTTGGCATCGTCCCCTCTACTCCTGCTGCCGAGGGAAATGGGCGAGGTTTAGGACTTTGGCTCATGCAGCTGCAATGGCTGCATTGGGTACGTGGTCTAAACCTCCCCAGAGACCCTGGCTGACGGAGGAGGTGTTCCTGCTGGCTGAGAAAAAGCGACAGGCCCACTCTCATCGTCTACAGCATCCCACGTCGTAGAATGAGCAGGCTTACCACGAGGATCAGTGGTGGTCGCGCGTTGCTGAGGAGATGAAATCTGTCTCAGTAGCCCGCCATTACAAATCACTTTTTAATTCCATCAGAAAAATAACTTAAACCACTATACCTATCACCATCCTTCGGGTAAAGAAAGTTGATCCTATCTCCAACCCGCAGGAACAGGTTTGCACGTTTACTGAGCATTTTTGTGAACTCTTGGGGGAGGGGAAATACCTCAGCCCAGAAAACATGGGACAAAGTGGAAATGACCCTACTGAGGCTACGGTGCCTCAAATATTGAAAGAAGTAATCACCCCCATGTGGGTGGCTTCTAAAGTGCCATCTATTAAGAAAGTACGGAAAGCGAATCAGACTCCGAGACCAGGAAAGCGCCGGGCAGAGATGATCTCCCAAGCGAACTGCTGAGGGAGGGTGGCATTTGTGTGCATACTGCCCTATATGACACCCGAACGGGTTCCGCAGGATCAGAAGGATGCCCTAGTGATCCCCC